TGCATCAGTGTTCATTAGGGAGATTGGCCTGTAGTTTTCCTTTTTTGTGTTGTCCTTGTTCGGTTTTGGTATTAGTGTAATGTTGGCTTCATAGAACGTGTTTGGTATTGTCCCTTCCTTCTCAATTTTTTGGAAGAGTTTGTGAAGGATAGGCACTAATTCGTCTCTGAATGTTTGGTAGAATTCATTTGTAAATCCATCAGGTCCTGGGCTTTTGTTTTTGGGGAGGTTTTTGATTACCATTTCAATTTCGCTAATTGTAATTGGTCTGTTTAGGTGTTCTATTTCTTCTTTACCTAGCTTTGGGTGATTGTAGAGTTGTAGGAATTTGTCCATCTCCTCTAGATTGTTGAACTTGTTTCCATATAACTGTTCATAGTAGTTACTGATTATTCTTTTGATTTCTGCTGTGTCCGTTGTGATTTCTCCTCTTTCATTGATGATCCTGTTTATTTGTGCTTTCTCCCTTTTTTCCTTTGTGAGCCTGGCTAGGGGTTTGTCTATTTTATTGATTTTTTCAAAGAACCAGCTCTTGGTTTCATTGATCTTTTGGATTGTTTTTTTAGTTTCAATTTCATTTATTTCTGCTTTTGTTTTTATTATTTCTTTTCTTCTACTGGTTTAGGCGTTTTTTTGTTGTTCTTTTTCTAGATCTTTGAGCTTCGAGATTAGGTTGTTTCTTTGAGTTCTTTCTTGTTTCTTGATGTGAGCTTCTATTGCTATATATTTTCCTCTTATTACTGCTTTTGCTGCATCCCATACATTTAGGATATTGGTGTCCTCCTTGTTGTTCAATTCAAAAAATTTTTTAATTTCTTCTTTGATCTCCTCATTAGTCCAGTGGTCTTCCAGTAGTGTGGCTTTTAATCTCCATGAGGTAGGAAAGTTCCTTGCCTTCTTTTTATGGTTTATTTCTAGTTTGATGCCTTCATGGTCAGAAAAGATGGTTGATATGATTTCAATCTTGGTGTATCTGTTGATGTTTGTCTTGTGCCCCAGTATGTGATCGATCCTGGAGAATGATCCGTGTGCGCTTGAGAAAAATGTGTACTCCGTTTTTTTGGGGTTTAGTGTTCTATAGATGTCTGTTAAGCCCAATTGCTCTAGGTCCTTATTTAGAGCTTTGGTTTCTTTACTTATTTTTTGTCTTGTTGATCTATCCATTGTTGATAGTGGTGTGTTGAATTCTCCCACTACGTATGTGTTTTCTCTAATGACTGTTTTCAGAGAGGACAACAGTTGTCTGATATATTTTGGTGCTCCTTCGTTTGGTTATGAGTTATGTTAATGAGTGTTATTTCTTCTTGAAGTATTGTCCCCTTGATCATAATGTAGTGACCATTGGGGTCTCTTTTTATCTTTTTGAGTTTGAAATCTGTTTTATCTGATATAACAATAGCTGTTCCTGCTTTCTTTTTTGGTCCATTTGCTTGTAGGATTGTTTTCCATCCTTTAACTTTGAGCCTATTTTTATCTTTTGTAGCTAAATGTGTTTCCTGGAGACAGCAAAAGGTTGGGTTTTGTTTCTTAATCCAGGCTGCAACTCTGTGTCTTTTTATTGAAGAGTTTAGTCCATTTACATTTAGAGTTAATATTGATATGTTAACATCTGTATTTGCCATTGTGTTTGTCTTTCCTTTGATTTTATTTATTTATTCTTTTAATAACTTTTTTTTTTTTTGGCCTTCTTTCGTTGTTATTCGTCCCTCTGAGGTTCTGGCTTTAGGACTCCTTGTAGTATTTTTTGGAGTGGGGGTTTAGTTGCAATGAAATTCCGGAGTTTCTGTTTGTCTGGGAAGGTCCATATTCTTTCTTCAAAGAGGAAGGAGAGCTTGGCGGGATAGAGTATTCTTAGTTGGCATCTGTTTTCTTGGAGTCTGTTGACTATGTCCCTCCACTCTCTCCTTGCCCATAGTGTTTCTTCGGAGAAGTCTGATGTCAGCCTGATTGGCTTTCCTTTGAATGTTATCTGTTTCTTCCCTCTTGCCAGCTTCATTATTTTTTCCTTGTCCTGGATTCTTGGGAGCTTTACTATTATGTGTCTTGCTGTATTTTTCCTTTCGTCATGGAAGTTTGGTGTTCTTCTTGCTTCTTGTATATCAATTTTCAGCTCCTTCTTCACATTTGGGAAGTTCTCTTCAATTATCTCTCTGAATATTTTCTCTGTTCCTACTTCTCTCTCCTCTCCTTCTGGTATTCCTATAACTCTTATATTTCCTTTCCTCATGGAGTCAGATAGTTCCCGAAGTCTTTCTTCATTCTTTCTCCTTCGTACTTCTCTTTCCTTTTCTGTTTTGGTTCTTTTTATTTCTGTGTCTTCAAGAGTACTTATTCGTTCTTCCATTTCATCAATTCTGCTTTCATTGCTTTTCCCAGAATTCTTTAGTTCTTCCATTAATTCTTTGATCTCCTGCATTTCTTTTACTTCCCTCTTTAGGGACTCAATTTCATTCTTCTGATCGTTGATTATTTTTCCCTTATCATTGTTTTCCTTTACGACTTCCATCAGTTTTTTAATCACGGCAATTTTAAATTCTCTTTCTGGAAGGCTCAGAAGTTCTTCCAAGTTACTGTCGTTGCAATCTGGGGCCTGGTTTTCTTTTTGTGGTGTGCTTTTTCTCTGCAGAGTTGCTAGGTTGCGTGTGGTTCTTCTCCTCCCTACTGTCTGTTTTCTAATTTGCCATATGCGTTGGGACACTGTGTTGTTGGGACTGGCCGGCATCTTGGGTGGGCTTCTCTGCTCCCCTCTGGTTCCTCCAGGAGTCATCTGTCAGTTTCAAGCAGTCTTTACTGGAGAAAGGTCCCTATTCTAAAATGCCGATGTGGGGACACACTCCCCTGTGCGCCTGGTCTGCCCCGGCGGCGGTGGGTTCCTGCTCCCCCTCTGGGCTTGGACTGCAGGCCAGAGGGGGTCTGGCGTGGGCGAACTTCCCCCGCTCACCTCTGGCTCCTGAGGAAGCCTTCTGCAGGTAGTCTTTACTGAAGAAATGTCCCTGATCTATAATGGTGATGTGGGACACACTCCCTGCACGTCCGGTCTCAGGCACACTCTTCTGCGCGCCTGGTCTGCCCCGGCTGTGGGTGCTCGCTCTCCCTGTGGGCTCAGACTACTTGTTCGGAAGGGGCCCGGTGTGGGCTAACTCCCCAGCTGGCCACTAGCTCCTTCAGCAGCCTGTGTTGGCTTCAAGTTATGGAGGGAAATTAAACCAGATTAGTTTCTCACTGGTATTTGAACATTGGTAGTAAACTATGGTTCTGCCAAATTAAAAGCAAATTTATAAATACAGTGTTCCCAAATCAAATATAATTTCTTAAATTATCTTAAAAACTAAAATATGACTGTAAGTCATAAATGTTGGTTGTATTAATGTAATATTCTGTTGTACCATAAAGACCATAGTGGAAAAAATAGTTAGTAGAGGCCGCGACTCTGGTCCATTTTGTTTAACCAGAGGTAGTTTTCCTTGGAATATTGAAAGAAGCCATATGGATTTGAAGGATGGACATAAACTGCCTAGCAAACTATAAACCAGAAAGGAAGAGAGAGTATTAGAGGAGTGTCCCTTGAAGTAAAGAAATCAAAACACAGAAATGCAGATGGGAGAGAAGCAGTGGAAGGCTTTGAATTCACGAGACACAGTGTGGATTATTATCCAGAGTCTTGAAGTCATAGAACATTATCACCTGAAATACTTTAGTCAGTAAAGTCAGTTCATTGTTGTGAAGTGTTAATGAAGGTGTCTTATTACTTCTAATCATCACTTAATGTTCCTACAAACAATACGTAGGTGGAAACAACAGTGCCATACCTAGGTGACACTGAGGAATCTGAGTCAATAAGAAAATAAGTATTTTTTCTATTTGGGGTGCGGTGGGGGAAACAATCGGGTTTCTTGTATATATTGTTACCCCTTGCTACCTTGAAAGAGAGGGGTAGTGTGGCAGTTCAGAGATGACTCCAGTACAACCTGTCCATGGTGGGGTGTTGAGCTGTTACCTTACCTTCCCGGGGCAATTCCTTCCTCAATTGCCAAATGGGGATCATACAGCACATATTTCACTGGGGAGGATTAATGAGTAAGAATTAACAGAGCAAGAGGTAGATATGGAGTGCTTAGAGTGGTACCCAGTGAGTTCTCATCAGTGTTAGTTTGAGCATCTCTACCCCTTCAACCTTTTACAGTCCACAAGATTGGCAGAAATTGTAAATTCGCAGCAAGCAACTGATTGATGGTCTGCTGAAGATGGGCCCAAAGTATGCACTACATTTCTATTCAACTCAGAACTCTGCCCTGGTTTTGTAGGATTGGCATCAGTGCATCAGTAATGCTCATGGACTGAAAGTGGGCTTCCAAATGTCCTATTCCTAAAGAAGTTGACATTTCTTTCTTTTTCCTTTTCAATTTAGCCACTAAATACATTCAAGATGGAAAATAAATCTGATCACAATAAGGCACTTGATTTCCAGAATTACCACTTCTTGAGTTCTATCTTTGAAACACAATTAATGACAAGTATTGCATAGTCAAGTTTGGGTATTAGACATCAATACCATTGTGCTGTAATTTAGGGTCCAGCAATTACCCAGAAAGACAAGACAAGTAAAGGAAAGGAAAGGACCTAAACATCTCTGAACACAGCCACAGCTTCCAAGCTGAAAGAAGGATGTTTATGTGCTTTCCTGTTTCTACACATCCCTCTCTAATTTTTTTTTTACTTCTTTTTATATTCTAATCTATCTTACATACAATTATATTTCCTGTATCAGGAAAGGGAAGAAGACAAAGGATAAAATTTACTTTCATCTCTGGACACAAAAATCCATAAAGACATTTTTCACGGAGCGAGTAAGATGAGGGTCCATAAATGTGACTTACTACACACTAATATTTTTCAGAGATAGTAGAACTTTCTTAAAGCTAATATGGCTACTTTTATTTTGGAATTTATTGTGGAATCTATTGTAGAATCTGTTGATATCACTATCTATTATTTTTTAGGTGGGCACGAGGTTTTTACTTCAGATTTCCAGCAAGTATCAAAAAGAAGAAAACATTCTGAAGAATCAAGTTTTCTGTCATCTAAGTCACATCTGTCTTAACAAGAAAAAGGAAAAATGAAGCACAAGATCAATCTATCTGAAAACATCAGTGATACAGCAAGAAATAATTCGGACTGTCCTTATATGCCTATGCCAAAAGAGATATTTTTCATAATCTCCATCTTCGGGGTTTTGGAGAATATGCTTGTCCTCCTGGCTGTTATCAGGAATAAGAATCTTCAAGTACCCATGTACTTTTTCATTTGTAGCTTGGCCGTTTCAGATATGCTGGGCAGCCTGTCTAGGTTCTTAGAAAATATCCTGATGATGCTCAAAGACTTGGGTCATTTCAAGTCTTATGGCAATTTTGAAACCACAGCAGATGACATCATGGACTCCTTGTTCATCCTCTCCCTACTTGGTTCCATCTTCAGCCTATCTGTGATTGCCACTGATCGTTATATCACAATCTTCCATGCTCTGCAGTACCACAGCATTGTGACCACGAGACGTGCCATTGTCACTCTGACAGTCATCTGGACATGCTGCACAGGCAGCAGCATCACCATAGTCATTTTCTCCCATAAGGTCCCCACAGTGATCACCTTCACATCATTGTTCCCACTCATGTTAGTCTTCATCCTGTGCCTGTATGTGCACATGTTCCTGCTGGCCCGATCCCATGCCCAGAAGTTCTCAATCTCCACCCTTCCCAGAACCAACATGAAAGGGGCCATCACTCTGACTATACTGCTTGGGGTCTTCATCTTCTGTTGGGCCCCCTTTGTCCTTCATGTCCTCCTAATGACATTCTGCCCACATAACCCTTACTGTGCCTGCTACATGTCCCTCTTTGAGGTGAATGGCATGTTGATCATGTGCAATGCAGTCATTGACCCTTTTATCTATGCCTTCCGTAGTCCAGAGCTCAGGGATGCATTCAAAAAGATGATCTTCTGCAACAGGTGCCAGTAGAATTATTGCTCTCTGATTTTAGTATCCATGGGTATAACATTGTCAAGTGACAGGATACCCTGGCTTTCCAATAAATACTGCTTCCAACTGTCCTTTCCTTCCCTAAAGTATATGAGGATTATCCTACTAGCATTTGTAATAGCTAAGTTCTGTGTGAACAGTCTTCCTGTACATATAATTTTTGTAAGTGAAAGAAAATAACATACATACCTTCCTGGCCTATGATGGGGTTATGTCCCACTTATTGAAAGTGTCATAAGTCGAAAATGCTGACCAGGATCTGTGACTCACTGCCACTGCCCAGCATCTCAAGAGGGTAGTATCATATTACCGTTTTCACTAAATATGAATTGCTTTCACATCACTGTAAATCAAAAAACCATAAGTCAAATAATTGTAAGTCCATTTATACTAAAAGAAATAGAGAATAAAAGTACATATAGCAATACTGATCTGAGACCTTTGGGCTGATGAAAAACTTCTTTGTACTTTTGCCCATTTATCCCTCAAAAATAAAAATATTTCTTTTGAGATTTGTTGGGACAGATTTCCCAACTGTGTATTATATAAACAGGTAAACAATCTTATATTGTGACCTAAACTTATATTGTGTTCCTTGTTTAGCCATTATAGAGTTGGTAATTCTCTGGCTTATTTCTCTCTATCTTTATAAATTTGATTTCATATTATAATGAAGTACCATTGTTTTACATCCTCGTTAATGTTTTGACAGTTCTCCTGTCAAGTGTAGTCACCACAGTTCTCCCACCACCAAAGCACCCATAGTCCTTCACTCAAGTCCACTGTGCTCTTCACACCCCTGTTCCCACCTCTCCTCCTGTTTGACCCCTCCCCTCCTGGATGCCTCAGGTTCATGGTTAGCTTTCAAGGCTTATTTTGTAATGTTCGTGAATGTTTGTTTGGTCTCTCTATATTACACATAGATTGACACTATCTGGTTTATCTTTTTCCTTCTGGATTATGCTAGTATAATCCCTTCCAGTTCCATGCACGTTTCTGCAAATGAGTTTAACTTTTTTAATTACGAGTAGTATTCCATTGTGTATTTTTACCACATTTTCTTGATCCACTCATCTCTTTTTTTGGCATTTAGGTAATTTCTATAGTTTTCCTATTGTAAATAGTGCTGTGAAAAACAGAGTGCAGGTTTCCTTTTGAATTTGTGATTTTTTGTTCTTTGAATACATACTTCAGAATGGAATTTCTGGTTCATATGGAAGATCAATTTTTAGCGTTTGGAGGAAACTCCATGGGAAATGGACATAGGACTGCTTTCTATAGGGACTGGACCAGTCTACATTCCCAATAACAGTGCGAGAGGGTTCCCTTTTCTCCACACCCTTATGAGCACTTTTTGTTTCTGGTCTTTTTTATGGTCATTCTCTCTGGTATGAGGTAGTATCTCTTTTTGGTTTTGATTTCACTTCCCTGATTATAATTGATGATGCACGTTTTTTCATATGCCTATTGGCATATTCTTTTTGAAGTATCTATTTAGCTCTTTTGCCCAATTTTTTTGGAGGGAAGGGAATATTTGATTTGTTTTGTTGAGTTGTGTGAGTTCTTTGTATATAAGTGCTATCAACTCCTTGTCAGATGTAGTGTGCAAATATTTTGTCACATTCCATGTGATGTTTTTTCATTTTAGTTATTATCTCTTTCCCTGTGCAGGTTTTTAGTTTGATGTAGTCCAGTTGTGCATATATTCTCCTTTGTTTTCTCATTGTTGGGTCAAATCTGTGAAGCTATTGCTGAGGTGCATATTTTGGAGCAGTTTGTCTATAGTTTCTCTTTGTATTTTATGGTTTCAGACCTCACATCTGAACTATAGATCAGAGACATTCTGTAGGGATGGAGTAGGTATATATCCTGTTGATTTTGATTTTTACTTCATTATAGTAACTTTTTTTCCTGATCCTTTATTTGCTTCCTCTACCTTCCTCCAATAAGTGAAACCACATGATATTTTTCTTCTTCCTTCTGGCTTATTTCACTGGGCATAAGCCCTTCCAGCTCCATCCATGTTGCTGCATGTGGCATAAATTTATCCTTTTTAATTAATGAGTAATAATCCATTGTGTATATATGTACCACATCTTCTTGATCCAGTCATCTATTTTTGGGCATTTGGGTTGTTTCCAAAGCTTACCTATTGTAAATAGTGCTGCAATAAACATAGGAGTGCAGGTGTCCTTTTGAATTAATGTTTTTGTGTCCTTTGGGTAGATACCTAGGAGTGGAATTACTGGATCATGCGGAAGCTCCATTTTTAGTAGTTTGAGGAACCTTCACACAGCTTTCCATAGTCACATCAAAGTCTTTTAGCCATTTTCAGTTGATTTTGGTGTATATTGTGAGATAGTGGTCTATTTTCATTCTTTTGCACATAGGAGTCCAATTTTCTCAACACCACTTATTGAAGAGGATGTTCTTGTCCAGTGTGTATTTTTTTCTCCCTTATCATAGTCATTTATATGTGTGTGATTTTTATTTTTGTGTTCTCAATTCTATTCCATTTGACTGTGACTCTTACCATTCCAGTACCATACTGCTTTAATATTTGCTGCTTTGTAGTATACTTTGAAGTCCAGAAGTGTAATACCACAATTTCCCCCTTTTTACTCAGAATGGATTTGCTATTTGGGATCTTTTGTGGTTTTATATGAATTTTATTAATATTTGTTCCATTTCTTTGAAGAATGTCAATGAGATATTTGTTGGGCTTGTGTTGAATCTGTAAATTGCTATAGGTAGCATGGCCATTTTGACAGTGTTGATTCATCCAGTCCTAAGGCAGGGAATATCTTTCCATTTCTTTTTGTCTTCTTCTACTTCTTTCACCAATGTTTTATAGTTTTCCTTTTACATGTCCTTCCCCTCCTTTATTAAGTTTATTTATTTCCAGGTGTGTGTGTATATATATATATATATATATATATATATGAATTTTGGATATTGAATCATCCTGTGTATTCAACTTGTTCATGACATATAATCCTTTTAATGATTTGCTGAGAATTTATTGAGGATTTTTGCATCTGTGTTCATTAGGGAAAGTGTCTGGGTTAAGCCATAGGATGTATAACAGTTTCTTAACTTCTTCCAATCACAATTGTAATTAAAATTTTGCTCATTCGGTGGTGCATATAAGGTTGATTGGTGGCAATTCAGGCCCCTTCACCAACTGTTTTAGACAGCAGTGACAACTATAATGTGAGCAGCAGTTATCTAGGAGCTATCAGTGCAATTTAATACAATACTCTCTACCCCTACTTTTGTTTTCCTGAAAGAAAAATTTACAATGGAAATAAGGCATCTGACGAGACACACACAGATATTACAAAGATATTACAGATATTACATCAGAACATCAGATATTACATACAAACACTGGTTGGCTTGGGAAAGGAGCTATAATTGCAAATATCTCTCTAGATGGTGGAATTATCCAAAGAGATATCACATTAAAATGTTCAAAATGACTTAACTTGTACATTCATATTCACAGGTAAAGAGTCAACTCAAAGATCAGAGAAGCACAATGGGATGCATTTTTTGGTGGTAGCAAAAGCTGCAAAGATAGTGGAATGATAGCATTGTTACAGGACAGGGAGAGGGGTACCCCACAACCCCTAAACCTGCCTGTTCTAAATAGATTCTGCCATTTGCCACATGAAGACAAAACATATAAGACCTTTAATAGAAAGGAACTTTAATACAATTAGTGTGCAATATAGACAAACAAAGAATATAGTTTCCAAATCTAGCAACTGAAGTTACCCATGCCCTCATGCGTAAAAGTCCAGCCAAACAGGATTGGCCCAAAGAAAGGCCTGAAAGCCTGCCCCAAGTCTAAAACACCTTCTGGCCAGGACCCACAGAAAAGAGTCAGAAGCAGACAAGTCTGGGAGGAAAAGAGCAAAATCAAAACCAAGATAAAAAGTGCCATTGTTTAACTTCCCCACAGGTCTCTCACCCACATCTGATTCAACCAGTCCAGGGCCAAGAAGCAAGCACAGTTTCTTCGCATGTCTCTCTGCTCCATGTGCCTCCTCCAGGTCTCCTGGCTCTCTGCCCTGCTCCCTTCCTTCTCCAGCCTTCTCTCCAGCTCCTTCTCCTCCCTGCTCAGGTCCACCCTCCCTTGGGTGGAGCAGGGAAATAGAAACCTCCCCTTTTTCCTGGGCACTACCTGGTTATAGTTTCATTTCATTACAAGATTTAAATAGGAACCAAAGACAATCTAATGATTGAAAAAAGAATTCAATAAGGGCTTACCTGAAGAAAATATCAGAATTGAGAAAGACACCTTAACTCTTTGCACCTCCCTGATAGTCTTTACTTTCAGAATTGCCTGCACCTGATGTTATCTTTCTCTCTCTCCATCTCCCTCTCTGGCAGTATTTTCTAAATCTCTTAAGAGAAGCCAGCACCCTACCAGTTTCCTTTAGATAAGGGCAAGACAATGGACTAACTGTATCCTAGAGTCATAACTTTCTTCACTAACACAGTGGATCAGCATCTGTAAGGGAGCATTCTCATCTGGAAGAAAGCTCAGGATTTGGAAACTAGTGTGTTTAGAGGAAAGAGAGAGACCACTAAAAAAGGTAGGAAAGGTGAAATATGGTGTGGCAAAAAGTGCATTATACTGGGACACTGGGAAAGATACTGTAAGGGCATGACAGGACACAGTGCAGGTTTTCTGATCCCATGCAGACCGGGTAAAGGAGTCAGAGTCCTCAGTGGTTTTTTGCAGGCTTTTTATTGGGGTTCACCAGGCATATGGCAGGCAGGGGTGCTGGCAGGCAGGGGTGCTGGCAAGTATTCACTCTATCTGGGCTCTCTGGTGATCTCAGCTTCTCTTCGGCTTCTGCTGCTGCTTTCTCGGCTTCTACTGCTGCTGCTGGCGTCCCCCCATGACGCCGCCCTTAAAAAGCACAGTCTTAGCTCAGCTGAATCCCATCTACCTATGCCCACACCCTATTCCAGGTGCCGCCATCAGGCATGCATTCAGGACCGCAAGGATCCATCATCTATCCTGATGGCGGGAGGGCAGAAAAGCCTGATATTTTCTTTACCCTACAGATACACACCCTTCCTCTATACAGTCTTCTGGGATTTTCTGGGCTTTCCTGAGGTCCTTACAGCTTCCTACAGACAGAGTGGATGCTTCCCCCAAAGAATACAGTTTGCTGAACAAAGAACACCTGGGTTGCCTCTGGCAGACTTTGGGAGTCAGGAAAGGTGCCTGCCTCTCCCCTACACATTCTCCTTAATGTGTAGGTTACTCTACAGTTCCCAGCTTGCTATAGAGAGTGCAAACTTCCTAGGAAAACATTGCTTGCCAAGCAAAAAGCACTGGGTTTCCGTGTGTAGGGTAAGGTAAAAAGTGTGAGGCTTTTCTACCCTCCCGCCATTGGGATAGATGACTGAACCCTGCAGTCCTGAATGCACGCCTGGTGGAGGACAACTGGAATAGGGTGTGGGCCTATGTAGATGGGATTCACCTGGGCTAAGACTGGGTTTTTAAGGGCGGTGTCATGAGGATGCCAGCAGAAGCAGGAGAGCAGAGAAGCAGAGAGAATGCCGGAGAGCCCAGAAAGAGTGAAGACTTGATGGGGGCTAGGAGGCCTGCCA